TATTATTATTATTATTATCATCATCATTTATTATAATTTGGCATACTATTTCTGTATTATTATATTCTTATTACTATTTAGTATTAGTATTAATATTAATCTTTGACTTGTCCCATATCATGTATAATGATTCATGGATGAAATAAAATTGAATTAAATTGAATGTCAATCAGACAAGGGGGCCCAAAATAAAGCTAAGTAAACTTGTTTTCATAGATAAGAATAGTGCTGGTCGGTGCTGGTATCCTCAAGAATAATAATAATAATAATAATGAAGTCAATGCAAACATTCAGGTATTCCATCAAAACGAGTAATAAAAAGCTACATATGGAGGTGCTACTAACAGATAAAGCAGCAAGGTTGGATGTACTATGTATCACCAAACATTGGTTAGAGGAAAAAGAAATAGATTATTACAATTTTGAAAACTATTCCCTCATATCAAAATTCTGTAGGAAAAATAAGCAGCATGGAGGCTCATGAGTCTATGTCAAAACAAATCTAGAAGCAAAGCCCTATAACTTCTTTGATAACTTGAATCAAGAAGAACACTTTGAGGCTAGTATAATCAAACTTATCCAGTTTAATACAATATTATCTGTGTATATAGAACTCCAAACAGTAATATTTATATATTTATTGAAACCATGGACACAATAATTAATAATTAAATAAATAAAGGGAAGAGCATCATTATTGTAGGTGATCTCAACATAGATTTCCTAGGAAGAAGAGGAAATCTACAACTACAGACAATGTTAAACTCATATGGCTTGCAAGCATGTATGTATGTATGTATGTATGTAAGCAATAGTTGATGTCCCAACGAGAATAGGACCTAGAGGTCAAACAGCAATAGATCAAATAATATTGAACAAGGGCTTATGGGGATACAATCTTAAGGTGATTGAAACAGTATTTTCTGACCATAAAGCACAGATACTACAAATACAGATGCAGTATAAGAATAAAAAGGGGCAAGTTAGACTAAAGGAAGAATACAGAATAGCTAGATCTTACAGGGAAGAGAATGTACAATACCTAAACTATCCACTAGAAAAAGAGACTTGGGAGTTTGTTTTTAAGCAAAATTCGGCAAACAAGACAGACAATGAATTTTTAGGTACTTTACAGTATTATTATGATATAGCTATGCATAAAAAATGGGTAAAACCTAAACAGCAGGAAAATAAATGGGTTACATCAGGAATAAGGGTATTGGGGAATAGACTCAAGTCAATAGACGATAAAGGTAGTCTAATGAAAGAAGGATATATGCCAGAAGAATTTAAAGAATACTATTGTCATTACAAAAATTATACAACAAAGTTATCAGTGAAGCAAAACAAAAATAACTAATAACATGCGAATAAGAGCATCAGGGAATAAATCAAAAGCCATGTGGGACCTAGATAAGATGGAACTAGGTAAACAGAAAAAAGTTACGAAGAATATTGAAATAAGTGAGAATGAAGTAAATATACAGGATCCAAAAGCTATAGCCAATGTCTTTAATGAATACTATACCAGTATTGCCCAAAAGATATTGAGTGGCAATCCATTATCAAAAACCAGTTAAGTTAATGTCAATATAGTAAAATATAATAGTAACAGTGTGTTCTTAACCCCAGCTAATGAAGAGGAAGTAGCAGGCATAATTAAAGGATTGAGTAATAAAAAATCAAAGGGAATAGATGATATTCCAGAGTATATTATTAAAAAATGTTATCCAAAAATAACAACTGCTTTGAAATCTGTCACTCTCAACTGGACATTTTCCAGATCAACCAAAAATTGCAAAAGTGAAACCTTTATATAAGAAAGAATGTGATACAAAAGTTGGGAATCATAGACCAGTTTCACTGATTTCTCCTTTTTTAAAAAATAATTGAAAAAATCATACATAAAAGACTTTTATCGTTTCTGAATAATCACAGCATAATTAACAATAAACAGCATGGTTTCTGTAAAAGGAAATCAACAAATACTGCAGCTGCAGAGTTTATAGAAGGGGTCTACAAATCATTGGATGGAGGCAAATAAGTATAGGGATATTTCTGGATCTGTCAAAGGTATTTGATTTAGTTAATCATGCTATATTGCTAAGGAAGATGACAAGAATGGGAATAAGAGGGGTTGCACTAAAATGGTTTCAATCATATCTAGAAAACAGGGAACAAATAGTGGAAATTACATATAGATGGAAGGAAACTAATGAAATCACTAGCTATCTATCGCGAAAGACAGCCATAAGACATGGAGTCCCACAAGGTTCTGTTCTCGGACCAGTGTTGTTTTTGCTATATATCAATGATCTAGAAGCCGACATTGAACATGGAAGACCAACGTTTTTTTCTGACGATACTAGTATTCTTATAGCAGGAAATAGTGCTAATGATGTCCAAAGGAAAATAAATAAAACAATAAATGCACTTACAGAGTGGTTTGAACGGAATAGATTAATTATTAATAAAGAAAAAACAATAGAAATATCCTTTCATCAACCTCAAAAAGTGCAAGTCAAATGCCCATGAATAAAGCTCTTTGATGCAGTCATCAATTATACAGAATATACAAAGGGAGTTTGGCTGGATAAGAATCTAAGGTGGTCTGCACATACCCAACAACTAGCAAATAAATTATGTAAAATATGTTTTGCCTTACGAATAGTCAAAAGAGCATCAGGGTTAGAGACTGTTCACACCTTATGTTATGCTCATTTTCAATCTTTGTCATTATATGGATTGATATTTTGGTGAAATTCAGGAAACGCAAAATTGATCTTTAGGTTGCAGAAGAGAGCTATTAGAGCTGTGATACAAATCCCAAAAACTATTCATTGTAAACAATATCTTTAAATCGTTACATATATTACCTTTATAATGTCTGCATATATAAAATTCTAGTTTACATAAAAACCAATTTGAATGTTTTCATAAACAGTTCAGGAATACATTCAAACAATACAAGGAGAAAAGATGACTTGTTTATAGTGACATGTAATATGAGTCTATACAAAAACAATTTCAATAATATTGGACTTCGTATGTTAAATCAATTGCCACAATATATTAAAGGGATACCAGTACTATACAAGTTTAAAAAGACTTTGAAAACATTCCTACTTGATCATTGTTTCTATAGTATAGACGAGTTTCTCTTGTTTGGGGACAAATCCTAGTTCTAATCACTTGTAAACATATATTTCAAGAATAATTAACTTGTAGATTTTAATATTAGTACATGTTATAGGAATGCCTACTGCCCTGTTCTGTATTTTTTCTTACAGGAACAAAATCGAGGATACCAGGGTATTTTGTGCCGGGATAGAAGGATTGGGTCTTGAGGCATACAACGGTGTCGTGTGTTAAACGATTATATCAGTTCTATTATTGGAATCATCATTTCATTATTATCTTAGTATATTATTATATTATTATTATTTATTGTATTGTAAAGTATTTGACTTGTCCTATATCATGTATAATGATTCATGGATATGAAGTAAATACATAAATAAATAAAATCAGTCTCTTTATTAAACAAAGTCATCAAATTCTTTAAAAGTGTTTAATGCTTCATGTCAATACAGTTATCATATGATGTAGCAGTTCATTAATTATTTCCTTTTACTTTACATTTACTCATTACATTGCGGGGGAGTGTCAAATCATGTATCGTATAACTCTTTGGAGCTGAATCCTTTTGAGAAGCTGCCTATCGCTCAGCTACTGAAGAATTTCCTAACATATTATGGAACAGGAAGGGTAATTAATACAACTCATAATGTTGTATTTTAGCATCCTGTTGCACTGATCTTCGTCCATTATATGTAAGCAGTGTCCATCTTTTAGTGCACTCAATTTTACTTATTACTTCACAACATGTTTCGGCACTACAGTGCCATGTTGTGAAGTAATAAGTAAAATTGAGTGCACTAAAAGATGGACACTGCTTACATATAATGGACGATAATTAATACAACATTCACAAGATGTCCCCCAAACCATGGAATCAGAAAATTTTAAGGTTGCACCCACCAGTAATTGAGCAAGGGATTGTAAGAGCCTGAACTATATAGGGTGGCTAAGAAAGGTTTTGAAAAGAAACCAGAAGGTAGAAGAAGTGACAAGAGATGGCTGGAAAATGGAGAAGTTGATTTATGAGAGCTGACAGCAAAGAGATCAAGATAAAAGGCAAATAATAGAGACAAATGGGCATCTGCCATACAGGAGCTCAATCTCAGAGGGCTGTAAAGCCAGAAGTAAGTAGGTTAACCAGGAGGGTCTTGTAATTCCTCAATTCATAGAGCTCTGGATTTGACACGAGGTAAGGAAGGCATGCAGAAATATATATATATACTGGACTCAAACAATCTCAAACTTATTACTTCAGGCACAGAATTCCAACATCTTTCATCTAGATTATCAGGTTCTATCCCACATCCTTACAGTTACCTTAATAACAATCAACATTCATAATCTCTGCAACTAATATAATTAAATATGTGAGATTTGAAGTTTTCACAGTTGCCTATGAAGATTACAGTTTTCTGGATGTGAAACTGTGTTGTTCCTTATNGCGTAGTATAAATGCGATCGTTTGAAGCAATCTGATTGGTTAGCGCGCGTGATGGTGAAAAGTGATGTGAAGAGCGAGCGTTGCAGAAATGCGTGATAATGTGGGATGTTCCCACATAGTAAAANGATTGTAGATAGTCACAGTGGAAGGGCCATTCAGTGCCCAATGTAAACCACTCTAATCCAACTTAACTGCATGGTGTCACAATCATGATCATTAAATAGTCAACAAAATGTGTTCTGCCTGACTTCATACACAGAGTACTTGAACTATTAAATGTTATGGAAGTAGGATTAAATGTTATAATTTTTACAAGATAATGTTATTTCAAGAATCATCTTTTTAGAATATAATGAAAGTAAATTTTATTAGAAATTTATTATTGAAAATTTCAGAGGCCAGTACAACTTCAGGAACTTGTTAAAGTGTTGTATAATATAATTAACAGCTTTACAAATTCTGTATTTTAATTATTACATTCTGTTTTTGTTCATAATGGGAACTTATTCATAGCTTTGTTTGGGTTACACTGTTGGGACCATGAAATATACACGTAGTGTGAGAGACCAAACGTACAGTTATGTTCTCAGTCTAGGGTTTTAATTATCTCTCTAGCTACGATGAGCTAATGCAAAAAAATTTAGCACACTTTGTTCAGTATCCAAAAGGCATTGAAGTCTGGCTGCTATCACACACGTGTTAATTGTTTGAGGTTAACTGTGTGCTGTTAAGGAAAACGACACAAAAGAAAGCAGTGTGAAATGTACATATGTGTTATGTGATCGTTCTGTGTTGTATCATTATAAAACTAAACCTTACATTCGTTGTTAAGAGATAACCGGTATAAGGTGAACATTGACCCCTCCCCACTACCTCTTATATAACTGAGATTTTTGGTATTGTTCATATCTAACCTCAGCCTGTGAAACTGCATCATTACTCCACAATCATGAGCAGCAAAGTGCAGACAGGTATATTTTATAATATTATTATGATATGTTTAAAGCTGAATAAACTTATACAAAGGAGTTTTAAGAATTTTTAAAAAGTTTCTGTTCATACATTCTATTTTAAATGCATTCATTAACCAGTATGACAATTTAACCTTTTATTTTTGGACTTCATAAATATTTACAAATAGTTATAAACATGATGTAAGCCTACAATATGTAATCTAATTTGCATTCTATGAATATTTCACAAAAAGTAACCCTGGGAAGAATTTAAAATAAGCTAATCAAATTTTCTAACCTGTCACTGAATTTTGACATTGTTTATGGTTTTTAGATATAAAAGAAATTATTCAACTTAATTGGCCACCTAACTTGATGTTGAGTTTGGATTTTAATTTCAGTTCTGGGGTTAATTTCACCTGAAGAATTGGGGATAACATTGACTCATGAACACTTTTCGATGGATTTTCAGCAGCTATATGTTGAACCACCAGAGCAACTTAAGTCATTCTTTGAAAATAAAATATCACTTGAGAATGTTGGATTTATCAAACAATATCCGTAAGTTAATATAATTTTGTTGTGTAATTATTTAGATCCTTACTTTACATGAAACGAACATTTTGTTTTGAGCAAACTTTCCCCCTGAATAAAATCTTAACAATATCTTATAGTCTCCATTTTATTTTTAGAGTGCTTTAATTATCTGTTTTTCCAATGTGCTCTTTCCAGGACACTGACTATCCTGACTGACGTTTTTAATGGTTTCTTACAATCTCATAAGGCAGATACTGGCATACCTTGAATTAGGCCATGATCAATTCCTTCCATATGTTTTATAATTCATTTATCAATAATCACCCTTCTGTTCAATACTGTACAGTCAGAGGTATTGACAACATTGCTAAATAAATCATAAATCAATTCAGCATTCAGATACAGATACATGTTCTTGGGAAGGGGAGATGGTACAGATCCTAATTTGGGCCAGTGGGAATAGTGAACAAGAAATGTTAGAAAAAATAGACTCAAAGTTGAAGCAACTGCCTTTGATTGGTTACAGATTTAAAAATCAGATAACCAGACAAGAGTGGATCATTTCCATGAGCATCTGATATGTCTTAGGAAAATGATGTTGCAACCCTTATTTCCTTATGATTAGGGATGATGCAAACCTAATTGCCACACCTGGAGATAAGAAATTCTGCCCCATATAATGCTCAGGTTTCTCAAAAATTTATCACAAATAGTAACATAACATTCCCAGACACTGTGATGAAAATATTTAAGACAACACCTAAAAAGGGTGCTGTAAATATGTCACTTCAGGCAGCTGCTTGGTCCATGTGTGTTGTGTCAACCCTGCTTAGGGTGCAAGCTCATCATTATCCTGTCCCAACACCGATTAGAGTATCGCAAGAACTATTATCCAGGACACACACTTTTGAGAATGTTTTCTGTCCTTGTTCCATGTACAGGTACAGATTTCATAAAATGTGTTGACTTCAGACTGAATAAAATAATTAGTTGACTAAAAGGCAGGTAGTTTTAATTATCATGTAATAAAAACTTCTTCTGCTATTGTAGAAGGTTCAGCTCCCAACCATAACTCTACTTCTCTGCCACAACACAGAACTGATGCTGAGTTAAGCACTGTGATCAAGTTTAGAGATCTCTAAGACTAACTAATTGGAGACCCCAAGCTTGTCATATAGGAATAGTCTTACAAGAACTAATTAATGTTACTGATACAGGTACAGTAGTAAATACAACTGCATATTTAATGATGCTGAAACTCATGCAGCAGTTCTGCATGAGATGAAACTGTACAAAGAGTTTGGAGGTGGGACAGTTGTAGAGAATTCGAGCCATGGTCTACAGAGAAATATGAAGTTCCTTAGAGAAGTTAGTGAAAGGACAGGAATACATGTCATTGCTGGTACAGGTATGGATGAAGCAGATTTTTAACCCTGTTATTTGCTACACAGTAAAATTGTATTAATAGTTTTATTATTTATTATGTGAATATTTTTTAAATTTCTATTACCTTTTATAGGATATACTTGTTCACTAGAAACTAATCATACTTCTATCTTTACTTTTCACAGTAGGAAGGGCACTGAAGTTATTAGTGCCCTCTGCTACAAGCAACACCATAGGAGGGTCTTATTTGAGCAGCTGAATAATGTTCTTCTGATCAAGAAGTTTCTCATTTCTTATGGAACTCAAATGTTCATCAATGTGTGCACAAATGTCTCACCTGATACAAATTCAATGCATTTTGTGCCTTCACAAATCCATTTTAATATTATCCTTCCATCTATGTTTAAATCCTACAAGTTACCTGTCTCTGTATCTATGTTCTTGATTTATTTGATTGTATAGCACGTGTTACTAATGTTTCATACTGAAAACATTTTTCATAAGTTTTCCTTAGCATGAACTAAGTTTTAAAATGTGGGTGGGGTGGGCTGTGGTATCAACTTGAGAACCAAGAAAGTAATCTTGTTTTACCACAATCCTTTGAGACCACAAATCAAGAAATTCTCCCCACACTCCCTTATGTGTCAATTCCATGCAATTCTCTGTAGAATAAACAGAATGTACAGAATCATGACAAGAAAACAGTTTGAGCTGTCATTACATTAATGTACTGGGTACTGCTCTAGGTCATTACATCTACTTTGTTCAGCCTCCAAGTGTGTTGGCACTGTCAAAGGAAGAAATGTGCAGCTTAATGGTTAACGAACTCACAACTGGCTGTGTAGACCAACCCGATGTTAAATGTGGATTCATTGGAGAAGTCGGAAGTGGATGGCCACTTCATGGTGGGTTTAACAAGTGCGCAATGGAGAACACATATTTTTCAAATGCATTCTTTGTTCTACTACATACTTCACTGGACTGAATTTTCAATTATTATAAATACAGATCATTATCACCATCTTTCTTTGTCCTCTTCTCCATCTCCTCCTTGAATCATTTTTTGGTTTTATTCTGGTTAATGGGTGAAAAATCTTCAAACTCTTCTATTTTCTAACAGTCTTTTCATCGCAATTTCTTGAGGGCTCTTTACCCTTTTCTCGATGCCTCCCTGTACCTGGTCAAAGTAAGCCAACCATGTTGAAAACATCACAATATGTGGAATCAGAAATTATTTTGTCTTCCACCTCAATAAATATTTAGCTAATCAAGAAATACGCACACATTAAAGTTATGTACTTTAACATCTGTGTTTTATGTCATAAATAAATTTTTGCATAAGTTGCTTTTTTAAGTAAACTGATGAAATTTGAATTATTCATAACAATCCTACTATCTCTTGATACAACATTCATAATCTCTGCAACTAACAAAACTTCATTAAACATGTGAGATTTGAGGTTTTCACAGATGTGCCTATGAAGATTACAGTTTTCTGGATGTGAAACTGTGTACTTCCTTAGACAGGTACATGCTAGAGAATTAATCTTAGACATGGGATGCAACAGACTGTAGACAGTCACAGTGGAAGGGCCATTCAGTGCCCAATGTAATCCACTCTAATCCAACCTAACTGCATGGTGTCATACTCACGACCATTAAGTAGTCAACAAAATGTTCTGCCATGACTTAATATACAGAGTACCTGAACTTTTAATGAATTCTTAAATCCACAGAAGATACAAGAAATGAGGCCATTGAATTGTGAGATAATTTGGGATAACTGTACAATCTAAAAAGATTAATATCTCTGCGTATTTCTTTTCTTCCTCCAACTTGGAACATCATATTTCTTTGAGGGATGAGAGTCTAGTCTAGAGATTATTTTACTGCACTTTCTAACATCTTTAATTGTCATTATTTTTAATTTCTTGTGTGGCTCAAAGAAGGTGCGAACTGATGTTGACCTCAAGAAACTAATTTCTGCATTTCTTCTCTCATCATCTTATTCATCCTTGATTCATGGTTGTTTCAGAGTTTGAAAAGCGAGCAATCATAGCCACTGGAGAAGTGCAAGCTCAGCTGGGATGTCCTGTCAGCTTCCACCCAGGAAGACACCCAGAAGCTCCTTTTGAAATAATCCGTTTGTTCCAAGAAGCTGGTGGAGATGTCAAGAAGACAGTCATGTCACATCTTGACCGTGAGTTACTTTAAATTATACATGTGTGGAGATCAAGCTGTAATAGTAATAATAATTGTCATCATCACAGGCAGTGTAATGGCACATAGCAACAGCCTTTTGTACAAAAGATTAAAGTGTAATGTAACAGGTGGCATAAGGTAGTATTTGAAACTTTTTCGCTTAGAAAGTTGGTTCAGTGCTTCTGACTTTTATTTGGGCGGTGTCTGATTTGAATTCCAGCTGTTTCTTCATAGTGCATTTTTTTTTTTGGCATTCATAATTGCTACAACAATAACACTCAGACAAGTCACATCATTAAATATGTCATTCTTGAAATTCCTTTGCCCAAATGCCTAAAGGATTAGAATTTGTAAACAATATATAATCACGCTTGACATGGTTAACCTATAATTGAAATATAACACACTATCAAACCAGATAAATAATCAAATTAGGTACAATACGTAGGAATGTAGGGACATTGAAAGAAGCCTTAATTTTATGTACATTTGCATGAAGGAACTGAGGAAAACCATAAAAGACCTCAGGATAATCAGTGTCCAGGCCAAGATTTGAAACTGACACCTCCTGAAAACAATATCAAAAGCATTCTAGCTTACTTGCTCAGAGAATCTCAGCTGGTACACTGACTTTCCGTCTGAGGTTTACTAGCTTTGCAACAACAGTTACACTTGAGATAAATGAATGTCAAGGCTGATAAAATGTGGAAAATAGAAAAGATAGCCTTTGGAAAATATATTTTGTTTTAGCTATTGTACTGTTACATACAGTTTTAAGTATGGTGTTCACATTTTACAGGGACAATGTCTAAGAATGAGGAAATATTAGAGTTCTCCAATCTGGGAACCTACTGTCAGTTTGATTTATTTGGGACTGAATGCTCATTGTATCAGATGAGCCTTTCAACAGACATGCCTTCTGATGCACAGAGAATGGACAAAGTGATTTCTCTTATTGAGGCAGGCAAAGAAGACAGAATTCTTATAGCCCATGATATTCATACAAAACACAGACTGGTAAGGTTCTTCATGTTGGGTTTGAGGTTCTCACAGTGATGACCGTGAAGAATACTGTGTTCTGGGATGTAACACTGTGTAGTCATGTGTACCAAACTCCAATTGCTGCCTGCTTCTTGTTCGTTTCTTGCTTGGCTTACTTTTACATCTTGAAGAAGGCATTATATTCCTCTGAAACATTACTGCACTTCTACTGGACTATACAGGGTTAAGGTTCGGCCACACAGAGGGCTACACTATGTTCACTACATACGCTATGTACTCTCTGCAACGCAGCTAACGTAGGGAACATAGCGTACAGAAGTCTGTGTGGCCAGTTACATTGGCAATAAAGGGAGATATTTTTCTGTTCGTATAGCGAACATAGCGTAACGCTCTGTGTGGCCGAATCTTTACATCACACAACACAGTATGGGAATAATTCAGTTTATGGTTTAGAGCCTTACTGATTTCTGAATTCTGTTATAGAGATGTTTTATTTTGCAGTTCGCTAATTTCACTCATGTTTTAAATTTTTAGATCAAATTTGGTGGCCATGGATACTCACACATCCTCAACAACGTCTTACCAAAGATGAAAACAAAAGGAATTTCTCAGGCAATGATTGACAAGATTACAATAGAAAATCCTAAAACATGGCTTGCTTACAGGCAAAAGTAGTAGCTCTGTACAGACCTTGGGTGATGGTAAAGGAAGAATTTCCCTTAGAAAAGCTTTAATTTTACTTCTATACATGTCATGGAAATATAGTAAAATTTCTTGTATTATTCCCTTATTTTTAGCATAAATGGTCCAGCAAGAAAGTGAGATTACTGCATCTTTTGGACCTATAATTATTGCTGCTCATATTAGTCACTGTGGAAGAATAACATTAAGTTTTTAACAAATGTTAATAGCCATCTGATATGGCCCAATATAGAGCATGGTAATGGGAGTAAGGGTGGGTTTGTTGAGCATGGGGTAACTCCACATGAATGTCTTCAACGTCAAAGTGAAGGAAAAAATACAACTGGAAATGAACATAGTTGGTATTGGCACTGAAAAGGCTAAATGTTATTTGTGATTTAATTTAAAGTAACAAATAAAGTAAAGAACACTGATGTTTTTCTTTTTATAAAGAATTTAATAAAATACATATTTTGCCTTAATGTAGTAAAAAAGAATAAAAATAGAAAATATAGTTTTGTGTCATTTTAATATCTTCCTTGAAGATACAAAGTTCACAAGGATAAACTGTCTTAAAGAAAACAAGTATACCACTACCTCAGGACTTAATCTTATATATATATATTTTTCCATGTGCTGATAACAGTAAGGACAGAGATTATTAATTTAAAAACTACCCCCCTAGTTTTTACATCATTTAAAAAAATATATGCTAAAAACAAAATGTCAAGGGTCAAAACAACGCAATAACAGTAACACGTGGACAGGGATAAAGTATAACAAAATGGGGCCAACTTCTCAAGTGACATCACATATCAAAATTCTGTAATATATTATTTAAAATTTTCAATGATAACATCATTGCTTCCTGAGCAGGCCTAAATAATATATGGACATCAATAATGATATTCCTTTACAAAAATTTTCAAAATTAACTCACTTAATTTTTAAGCTTATTACTGAAGTCCAGTCTGGAAAACCGAAATTAACGGCTGTGGGGATTCATTGCTCTGACAATGCAACACCCTCTATTTGGTAAAGTTGGCACTAACTTTGCTGACAAGCAGCGGTTGGTATAGTTCGCTTGCACACTAGAACCACAGATTGTTTTTATATACCACTAAAGATCTTTTTATTGCCTTTATATTTTTAACATTTTCTTCTTTGATTCTACTTTATTGCTTACAAACTTTATCATCCAAAAGCCTGAAACATAAAATCACAGAATTAATACTGTTGACACAAACAGTGCTATAACAACACATACAGCATATACGAGGGCCGTACTGAAAGTCATGAGCAACAATTTTTTGTAAACATGCTTTATTATTGACAAACCAAATACACCACCTCAATCTACAGACCTTTCTTTACTTTCCCACATAATCGCCACTTCTTTGTACACATTTCTCCCAGCGTTCTGGGAGTTTGAAAATTCCCCTTCTGTAAAATTCCGTTCCAGCCATCCGAAGACACTGACTCACTGCTTTCTGAACTGCCTCCCTTGTCTCAAAACGTTGTCCATGCAGCTGATCCTTCACAAATCCAAAAAGATGGTAGTCGGAGGGTGCCAGATCAGGGCTATAGGAGGGGTGTGGAAGAACTTCCCACCCCACCTTTGCAATTGCTTCCAATGTGAGGCAAGCGGCATGGGGGCGAGCATTGTCATGCAGGATGATGATGTTTCGTCCCGGACATTTATCACGCAATGCATGACGGAGCATGTGCAGCATCTGGACATAATCAGCAGCATTGATGGTTTGCCCAGGTTCCAGGAATTTGGCCAGAATAAACCCCTCTGCATCCCAGAAGACTGTGCCCATCACCTTCACAGCTGATAGCACTGTCTTTAGCTTCTTCTTTGATGGAGAATGTAAATGGTGCCATTCCAAACTCTGCTGTTTCGTTTCAGGCTCGAAATGGTGAAACCAGCTTTCATCACCTGTCACAACACACAGCAAAAAATCATCACCTTCATGTCGATATCTCTGCAGCAGTTCTAAGGTGATGGCTTTTCGCTGATCTTTGTGGTCTTCGGTCAATAACCACAGAACCCAATGATTCTAGTTTATTGCTTACAAACTTAATCATCCAAAAGCCTGAAACATAAAATCACAGAATTAATACTGTTGACACAAACAGTGCTATAACAACACATACAGCATACATGTTTGTACAGTACCAGTATTACTGAATTGGTTGGTTTAGTGGTAACACCCTAGACTTGTACTTAAGAGATGCTCACTTAAAATCTTGGCTGGGACACCAGCTATTCTCATTGAAGTTTATCACAGATTTCCTCAGTGATTCCAAGCAAAGGATGGGATAGTATTTCAACTACACCATGATCGCCTCCTACCACATATTTTCCAATTCATCAGTCATATGTCATGCTATATAGTCTGCGATACTGACAGATCATAAAATAACCCACAAAAAAAAAAAGAGAAATACCTACAATCTGAAGACATCTTTAAGGTAGCAAATGATAACTAGTTAAGAATGTCATTTGTTGAACCTTTGCTGCACCTAATGCAGTAGACTGTAAAAGATTTAGATTAGATTGATGGGGTTGTGCTCAACATCTGATCACAATCTGCCATGCATCCAATAGTCTGAAGTTTGTCCTTTTGCAGGCCCAGACTTTAGTTGAAGCATAGTGATTTGTTTGAGGGCACGTAGTACTATAGTTGGTTGAGGCACTATGCTACAAGCCGGAAGGTCACGGGCTTGATTCTTGATGAAGTCACTGGGTTTTTCAACTGACCTAATCCTTCCAGCTGCACTATGGCCCTGGGATAAACTCAGCCTCTAACAGAGATGAATACCAAGAATCTTCCTGGGGATAAAGGGCAGCCGGCACGTAAGGCTGACAACCTTACCACCATCTGTGAGCCAACTGTCTAGAAAATGTGGGAGCCTCGATGTCTCATAAACCTAAGGTTCTCCACGGCCTGCTACAGGGATATCTTTACTTTTTTTACAGTACTGTGTTTGGTTGGGTCTGAGTAGGGCACAGATAAGGAACAGTTTACTACTGGCCTTCAAGCCAGCACAGCAGTACTTTGCTTCAAGCTCTGATGGCAGTCATAACCATATATTGATTCTGTGTTACCAGCATTTTAGTTTAGGAAGTGAGATCTCTTCTATAAGAATAAGAGGGATCTGTCACTGTAAGTGCCACTTCTACTGAACCACAATAGATCATAAAACAAAACCATCACTATGCTGTTAACACAGAGAAGAGCAAAGCAGATCTTAGTGGGGCTTTCGAGAGTTACTGGATTTTATGAAATGGAGTCCCAAGTGATAAAACGTGAATTTAGCTAATACCTTAAAATCATATAGGATATACAAGTGTATGTTGCTTTTGTCATGGCACCTTTCCTAGAAGGGACTACTTACTTACTGATCGTAGTTGTAATAGTGTCCTTTGAAATAATACTATCCTGTAAGTAGTCCTGTCACATGTCTCAAATGCTTCCTATTTAGCTACACCGAAAAATGCTTGACATAAAGAAATATGATTTCGATGAAATATCGCAGCAACACTTCTCGACTTCATACACATTTCTGATTTCATTCGGCGTAGTATGCATACTATACATATACAAAATTAACAAGGAGACTTAACTTCGTGAGTAACGTCGACTCGTTTCACATCATCAGTTAAAAATTCATACTTACCATTTAACTGAACATTCCACCACAATTACAACATAATACGCAGAACACAACCGCAAAAACCCAAACAACCCAAAACCTCCGGCACTGGGTAGGCTGGGTGGGCTGGGTCGGCTGGGTTGTGTGATTGGTTCACCTATTTGTGATTCGATACTTTGCGATTGATTCATGCAAATGCGATATTTGTATTGAGATTCGTTCGAGACTGCTCAGACTATCTAGTTCCAGACGAGTGCCTAAAGATGGCAGTAGTTCATCAAGTTTCCATTTCTCCCATCTCCAACGAAGAGGAGCAAATTAAACTTGAAGATCTCAAAAAAACCTCACATGGTGGTTTTCTTTTTGAAAATGAAATTTCATATTCTGCATCAAAAACAGAAATTTTTAGTGAAGCTTCACAGTATGTTGTGCGTTCAAGTTCTAAGGTCTCCGATTTTTTTTCTCACACAATAATCATACAAAAAATTTGAAACTTCTGTCACTTTTCAACGTAATCTCCCTGCAGCCGTACACATTTTTCACAACGTCGACGCCATGATTCCATGGCCGCTGCGAACGCTTCTGTAGGAGTCTGTTTTGACCACTGGAAAATTGCTGATGCAATAGCGAATTGAAAAACGGCATCCATGTCTCATCCATTGTCACAGTTGATGAAAAGAAAGTCCCATTCATGCCTTCATCATTGCCATGCGTGCAGCCTTGTGGTCATCCGCCAAAATTCGTGGAACCCACCTGGAGGACACTTTCCGCATT